AACTGATTTCCTTTCCACATCGGCCGGCGTTGAAACTTCAGATTTATGATGATGGCAAGAACACGATACGAACACGAACAATAGCATTCTATATATACAAAATATTATAATTTATATATCTTTTAAATAATAAAAATCCCTATCATTGTATGATTCATCGTGTAGTGATATTGCTTTGAACCTTTAACGTCTTAAGTGAAAGATCAGTGGGATGTGCCTGAACAATCAAGGCAGATCAATGAGGAAAGTTGACTCCATATTTCTTAATTGAATGATGTGCTATTGTACGATCATGAAGACGATGACTTAAAACAGTCTGTCTAGAGGCGATTTTATTGCTTTAGGCGTACGTATGATTATTATCTGCAATATATAATTTACAATTACATCCATTTTCAAACGATAAACAAACATAATACAGCAAAAATATAACATTATCGTCGTATATGTTCGTCCACTGGTAATATTACAGAAGTTATGTGCCAGTAACTTATTAACAACCTACCTTTGTTTTATTACTAAGTACTTGAAAAATGGTTGTAATTAAATGATAAATTATTGTATGACAAAAAAAAGAAACTCTACCTTACAATAACATTTTATAATAATGAATATTAAATCTGTTTATCTACCGAATTATTCTTCTCTAATGTATCAAAATTTTATTACTTCTTGCATTTAATTTAGCTAATATCCGAAAATCAGGTCATAAATAATGTATTCTCGACCCTTAAATATACATACATTAATTATTGCTAAGTTTAGAGAATAAATTGGTGTTACTGTTACAAGAATGGGTTGTGACAAAGGTACTATGGTGGTGTAAGTCAAATGACATGTGCAATTCGCGAGCTGCATGTGCGTCTACTAAAACACAAACAGTAAACAAATATTTTTGAGTTTCATAATAATTATTCATTTAGTAATCTATTTTTTTTAAAGAAGGTAAGGGTTAATTGCGATCAAAATCAGTTTTGGAAGACTAAAATTATAATTGATTCATATTATTATTTTATTTCCAAATTATGCTGTTTCTTTTTTAAATTAATTTTCGATTATTAATTTTCATATTTCATAATACGTTTTTGAGCCACTCATTGAAAGAACATAACATAAAATATTATAAATCTATAAATATTACGGTTCCAATATAGAAAATTATAGTTCAAATATAGAAAAATAAATATAATAATAGACCGTGGGTTAATCCAGGTAATGGTAGGATCGCGATACTTAGCCCTGAATTCAAACCTGTAAGTCTTCAAGTAATTTTGGAAATTTTTGAAATTAAACGGTTTTCATTACAATATGCATATTACGAATAGCTCATACAGGGACAAAAATGTGATTAAGTATATTCCATATGTATTTATGGTAACATGATCTCGCAGTATAATTTAGTACTGATTGGCTGACTGTCACTAATGTTTATACAACTATAACAGTTGAAACATAATAGAGCATTGAAATCAAATTAGAATAAATGGCTATTTAATGTGAGCTACAAAATTTTAAAACAAGTTCTATTAATTTAGTAATTGTTAATTAAAAACAGATAATGTAAAATATAATATGCTTGTTAATTAATTTGTTTACTTCTAAACCTCACACCAACAAATAAAGACAGACAGATTTGCATACATTTCAAGTGATGCTGAAACCATGCTCAACTTTTTGACACACACTCATGCACACATTTCTTTTTTTTCTTTCTTTATCAGCCTGTGAATAATCATTGCTGGACACATATATATGCACCTAAAACCTCGTTGATGGTGGCAAATGGTTTATGATACATAATATGTGCATAGTATGTTCTTACAATATGTTGAGGCACGGTTTTGGCTTGGTTTTTCATCACTTGAAATAAATGTAGGTCTTTCTTTGTTGGTCTGAGTTCAAAGCACATAATTTTTATATATAAACTGAATTATACTTAAACGTTGAATAAATATGAATTTAAATTAACAGAATATTAGTTGGTCCGAGAGCTCATGACGCATTTTTCATGAAGTGTTTGATGCATCATGAAACTTTGTTTAAAGGTATCAGTCGACTCAATAAGCAGGTATATGACTGTCTGCCTGGCCTACCTGGGTACACCTGGTACTGCGCATACAGTTAAGTCGAAAAAAAATTTGCCCAAAAAAAAGTGTTTGATTCAAATAATAATAATGACTATCCGTTAGCTAAGTTTATAAACAATTAAGAAAAAAAATGGCAGACACTTCTGAAGGGGTTTACATAGGGGCAGACGACCACAAAGTTGTATTTTCAAAAATTCCAAAAAAAGTGTTTGATTCAGTCTGCCATTTTTACAGCGTGTTTATTATGTATAATAAAATATTCTCACAAAAAGGCAGACAGTTTCTCCGGGGGTTACTAATTTAAAAATCTATACAAATAAATAAAATTTAAATGTCTGTTTTTAATTTCAAAATAACAATTTTTTACTAAACGCATAAGACATTATATACGATATTTATAACAAAAACACAATTTTTAAAATTTTTGTCTGTCTGTTTGTTCCGACTAATCTCCGAAATGGCTGGACCGATTTTGACGGGACTTTCACTGGCAGATAATTGATGTTATAACGAGTATTTTAGGCTGCTTTTAAATTTAAAAAAAATTATTAGGGTACCGCGCAAAAAAAATAAAACCCTAAATTACATGCGGGGGAAGTCGCGGGGAACAGCTTTTTATTTCTCTTAAATAATCTTAAAAAAGTATAATTATTTTCATGTTTGTCAATTGGAATCGGATTCTGCTGTCAATGTACTTATCAAATCATGTGATACAGATGTATTAATTATTATGATAGGAAATATGGACCATTTAAAAAGTGATTATTTATTTGTATAGATTTTTAAATTAGTAACCCCCGGAGAAACTGTCTGCCTTTTTGTGAGAATATTTTATTATACATAATAAACACGCTGTAAAAATGGCAGACTGAATCAAACACTTTTTTTGGAATTTTTGAAAATACAACTTTGTGGTCGTCTGCCCCTATGTAAACCCCTTCAGAAGTGTCTGCCATTTTTTTTCTTAATTGTTTATAAACTTAGCTAACGGATAGTCATTATTATTATTTGAATCAAACACTTTTTTTTGGGCAAATTTTTTTTCGACTTAACTGTATGCGCAGTACCAGGTGTACCCAGGTAGGCCAGGCAGACAGTCATATACCTGCTTATTGAGTCGACTGATACCTTTAAACAAAGTTTCATGATGCATCAAACACTTCATGAAAAATGCGTCATGAGCTCTCGGACCAAGTTGGTTGGGTAATAATGAGAGTTTTATAATCAAAATTATAGTATGTGGCAAGTAATTTAGTGTTATCTAAATATGGTACAGCATTTTCACATATTATGGCAATGCAAGTGTTAAAAATTTATAACATTTCAAAAAATAAAGACTTATTAAGAAATCGCATATAATAAAATGTAAATATATTCTAGGACGCTCAGCATTGATTCAATTACAGCCCAAAAAATAATGAAGTCGCAAAGCACAAAAACCACTCAGTCAATCAACATGCTAATCACTAGTTGGAAATTATAAGCAAAGCTCTTAGACCTATAATGGCAGTATATTATGTTTTAAAACTAGTACTAAATGGTTTGCAAGTTAAAATTTTATCTAACTCACTATTCAACTTTAAAAATTAGCAAATAATTTATAATCATGTTGTCATTAAAAATAAGTATTGGGGCAAGACTTATTTAAATTAACAAAAAAACAATTTCTTATTTGAAATTTATGTAACCAAGCAAAAAACATATACTTTCATCTTTTAAAGCAGAATTTCATACTAAAATCGATATAATCAGCCTTTTATATACAATGCAACATATAGAAGTATAACACATTTTAAAATGTTTTATGTGGCAGTTTATTAATTATTAAGTACTTGAGTATAATCACATTTACACTAAACATATTTGTTGTTTTAAATTATTGAACAAAAACTGGCAAAACATGAGTATCAGACTTATAGTACAATAATACCTTGTCATATGCCTAACTCTCAACAATTAAAATTCAAAATTGTATTAAACATAATTACATCAAAATCATTACAGCAAATTGGCTACCTACATTTTATTATCTTAGTTTAAAATGACATTTGATTTAAGGAATGTTGTCATAACATCAAAGCTCTCTCTGAAGACATGGAAATATTTATAATATACCTACACAACAAACACATAGAGAAGTTACTCTTACTCCAAGGACATTTTTAATATCAGAATCTTTTGGATGTCAAAACTACGTCATACATTTGTTTGAAATATTTATGTAGAAAAATTATTTACAAATGAAATTTAACCATACTATTTATTATTATTATAAAGCGATTTTTTTAAAGATTGATCAATGCCTAACAAAAATAATGAAGACTAAAATTAAACTTTACAATTTATTATAAATACTACAAAACATCACAATAATAATTACGAGTCAGTCCTAATTTTTTTGTTGCTGCCCTGATTATCTTAAAAGAAAAGTATTTTGTTTTATTTGTTATCCATTAGTATTTTAAAATATTTTTCCTCAATAAACTTAGATGATAACAAAAATATGTCTTCTATACTATGAAATAATAATGGCTCTGGATTCGTTGTATATTACTAACAGACGGTAGATTAATAAAGCACATATTAAATTAGATGTCCATATCAAGTCATTTGTATTAAAAATAATCCAATAATGTAACATGTTACAAAAGTAAATAAAAAAAAATATAATAAAGTAGAAAAAATATAAACACCATAATTAGATTATAATATTTTTGTTAACTAGAGAAACTGTCTGTTATCCTATGTCTAAATCTATAACAGTTCTTTTAGAAAAATATACAAAATGCATCATCAATTTCATTAATATAAATCACTGTAATAGAATCACGTTATCATGAGAGATCGAGATCCACCAAACTGCAATATTTTTGTCCACTGACACTTTAAATATTATATGGTTTCTTTACAACATTACACAAGAAAACCATAAGGGCCACTGACACGAATTTGCGCACGCATGCTTTGTACGCTGTTCATAATTTTTTTCTGGTGTCCAACTAGAGTGACACCCAGAGAGGACAACTGCTGTACAGTAAGATCAACAACTGCATCCATGTCCGTAATACCAGCTGCCCTGAATTTTTCAATGTACCGTGACATTTTTATACATTCCAACCATTCTTCTACAGAAGAAAATTGAATTAAATCAGGTGTATCACCAGCGAGAGGATCTGCAGAACGATTCTGAGCAATCTTTCTTAAAGTATCAGGGCAACGAATCAGTTTATCTAAAGTCTTAACAATACTTGAAAAAGTAGGTCTATGAGTGCGCTCTTTTTGCCAGCAATCTAGCATGAGTTGATACACTGCTTCTGGGCAGTCCATAGGTGCTGGTAGGCGGTAACCTTTTTCAATTGATTTAATCACATCTTGATTACTCCAGTTCCAGTATGGACGCTCTCCAAAGCTCATTACTTCCCAGCATACAATTCCCATAGACCAGACATCACTTGCAGATGTGAATTTCCTAAAGGCAATAGCTTCAGGTGCAGTCCATCGCACTGGTATTTTACCTCCACGAGTTGTGTATGCTCCATCAGCCGTTGATTCTATTTCACGTGACAATCCAAAGTCAGCAATTTTGCATACTAACTGAGAATTAACTAGAACATTGCGAGCCGCAAGATCACGATGTATATAATTCATCTCAGATAAATACTGCATACCAGTAGCAATGCCTCGTAACATTCCAACTAATTGCAAAACTCGGAACTTTCCATCATTTGCACGTAGGAATGTGTCTAAGGATCCATTTTCCATAAATTCTGTTATAATCATTATTGGATTACACTTAGTGACAACACCTTGCAAAAATATTACATTTGGATGTTCAAACTGACCCATGATAGATGCCTCAGCAAGAAAATCTCTTCTAGCTCGCTCTGTTGACCCTGGTTTAAGAGTCTTAATTGCCACATCAATTTCTTGTCCACAACTAGCCGGCAATTTTAATTTACCTCGGCATACATCGCCAAATTCTCCACCACCAATAATGGCTTCTATTGTTATACATGATGCATCAATTTCTCTTGCAAACTCCCTGACTGCTTGATTGGGATCTTCATAAGTATGAGGATCAATATAAGTTCTCGAACCTGTTCCAGCAAACAGTGGTGTAGTAGCATTACTGCTCGTTTTTGTTGGTCTTTCTGGTCCAGTATATACTTCACCATTGCGATAATTCAATGCATTACAATCACTTGGTTGTTTTTTGTCACATTCATCATCAGTACGTGAACGCAAAAAGAGAACAGTAGCAATTATGGCAACCACAGATAAGACAACAACAATTACCATAACACCAGCAACTAAACGTACTTGTGCACCTTCTTCTTCACCCACAAATGTTGTTTCTAAAACAGATCCAGTACGTGCATATACAATACCACTAAATTCACCCCAACCACGTTTCATTTTAGCCCGTACTCTTATCCCATACTCTGTATCTCTTTTTAATCCTGTTATTGTAATATGAGGTTCATTTGTAATTCTCAATGTTGCATTAGAGCTTTTATCTAAATTATCTTTTGGAAAACATTTTACTTCATAACTTTCTATTGTATCCTCAGGATCTGTTAAATCCACTGGAGGCGGGTTCCAGGCAAGTGAAAGCTTATCACTTTCAACACTGAGAATTCTTAATTTTGACACCACACTTACTACTGAAGCTTCAGTCACAGCTGTTATTTCTGCTTTCTTTGGAGGCTCCCCTGTAATTTCTGAAACACCATTTGTTGCAAATACTTGAAATTTATATTCTGTTACAGGGTCTAATCCTATAACAGTGACTCGGGTAGCATTTAAACCACTTGAAGCAGGTCTATACTCAACACTAGGACCACAATTGGAGCAATGAACACTGTAAGTGACATCAGTACGCCCACCATTTTTATGTGGTGGTTGCCATGCCAGTGAAATTGAAAATTGATCAGCAAATGTTACTGTAAGATTTTCTGGAGCTGATGGTGGTTGGGTGCAGGGAACATTTTTTGGGTCCTTTTTCGCTCTGTAATAACTGGGTATGCATTTGCATTCTGCTGCTGCATAGGCTGTTGATTCAGAATAATCGGGGCAAGGAACACAAGGATCATCACCAGTATGAGATTTAAATTTTCCAGGTGGGCATTCATTGCATACTTGATTTGTATTGTCTGGTTCAAAGCCAGCACGGCACTTGCATGATCCACTTGGTAGTGTCCATTTTCCATCACCTTTGCACAAGTAAACTGGAGGAGTCACGCCAGGTGGTGTTTCTGCATTTTCTACACAAGTCCCATTTGCATATTCTATAACTGTTACTTCTTTACCAGTTGGGGTTGCAGGAAATCGTGCAAAATTAACAGTGACCTCTGGGCAAGTGATGTAGTAAACTTTGACTGCTAAAATAGAGATACACGCACCTTGATCTCTAAATGCAAAATAAACACCTCTTTTTGTAACAGCTATACTTTTCACTTCTGTATTAATGTCAACTTCAGAGTTAGTATTAAAGCGACCTTCCCCAGCAGCTATGCGGCCAACTAATTTGTAACTTTCCGGTTCCCACGGTGGTTGTTCACGCGTTGCTACATCAAATTCATAATACAGTAAACTAAAAGTTTCTTTGCAACTTAGGGCATTGCCAGGGAATAATGAACAATCCCTTATAGTAAATTTAATCTCAATATAAATTCTGTTGGCATTTCTGCGTTCAATGAATGGTGTCCACAACCAATTATTGACATTATGATGACCAACGTCACATACAACATAAGATCGCCAGGTAATATCTTTTTCAAAATTACTGTACGTCTCTTCTACCCACCCTGAAACACTTGCTTGAGGACCGTAAGGAAAGCGCGTCCAACTAAGTGTACTATCCTCTGTAGTAGTATCGAGGAGCATAACTTGCTCCCCACGTACGCTCAAAGCGGCTATCACCGCGGCCGCCACCGCTACACAAAACCACATCATCTCGACGACATAATAAGACTAAAATTCACAAAAACGACATTTAAAAACACGATTAAACAAGTAAAGTTGCAATAATTTCACTACATAATGTTTAACAGACTATGTTTTCACAAGTACTCTCTATTCCGAACACTGCACTTTGTCGGGGATAAAGGACGGCCCCATCATTTCTCTTTGCAATGTATTCTTGGTAATCGCAATAAAAAGTAACATTAATTGTCAGTTGTAATAAGAAACATACACTGTAATGTCTGTGTTAAAACTTTCTAACAGTATAGGAATATGATTAACACAATTTTCAGCGAAGATTCCGCATTTTTAATACATATTGATCCCTTAGTACATAGGATGAAAACTCAGGTTCCTTGACATGGACGCGCAGCAATTTTCTGGGCTGCCACACTTGAAAACTTACAACGAAAACGATATTGCCAGTTAAAAATTAACTAAAACAGCAAAATTCTTTAATTTCGATTAATAATAATATAAGAGCATTTTCAATCACGTCTTAAAAATCACTTTACATCTTATTTAGGAAATTGAAATTAACACTACATAAATGTAATTTACGATTCTGCGTGATGCTGTCTTCCCTCTGTGTTTGTCTATTAGAAATTAATAGGCATGAGACCGATATATCAAAACGTAACTGATAACGTTATGTTATCAAATATCATATCATATCGATAAACCTAAGAACATAACCGTTATCACATATCCAACCAAAACCCAAAATCAACTAACCAACTTACGAAACGTAAAACGCAATCTGTAACGATATGCCAAAAACCGAAAACGGCCCAAAACCAAAACTAACCGATGTCCTTTGATATTCGTTGTTTCTCGTTCTAGCGACAGTATCATAAATGCGTATGAAAGAGATGAAGCGAATATGGATTTCGCTGTTATGTTTTGGTTGTTATCATAAAACGGTGCACGTACTGAAATAATTATAATAATTATAAGATTCTTAACAATAAGGTCGCATTTTAAATGGTTAAAATTGCCTAATTTTTTAAGTTTGTGTAATTGTGAGAGTTGTCAGATTTATGATCTTTAGAACATTAGGCACTAGACTTAGATTTGTTTGATCACATTATATTCGGTTTAGGCAACTTTTGTTTATGTGAAAGTTTAGAATTTGATTTTTTTTTCAAACGTAACAATTACGCACTTAACATTTGTGGCGTGTGCCGTTCACTATGAAACTATCTGTAAAATTATTAATTTTTGACGTTGCGTTTGTGCATTTATTTGTAATATTGTTTGCATTTTGTACATTTGTTTTAAAACTTTCCTGCTAGTCCTAAGCCTAGTTAAGTCTATGAAGGTAATAATAAACTATGTATATACCTATAATACTATATGACGGCTCCGTGGCGCAGTGGCTTAGCAATCAATTGTTGCGCTGGGGGCCGCGGGTTCGAATCCCGCACGGAACAAGTATTTGTATGGCCTACAAATAATTGTTCCGGGTCTGGATGTTTGTCCTTGTGCAATTTATGTTTGTAAACTGCCTTCACGACACAGGAGAAAATCCTAGTGTGGGGGTAACGTTTTCTAAAAGAGAAAAAAAAGAGAAAATAATTTTCTATATATATATATATATATATATATATATATATATATATAAAATATATAAATAATTAAATTAATAATTTTCTATATATATATATATAATATATAAATTATGTTTACTACTTATGAATACAGTTTAATTATAGACTTCGAAATCAAACTCTGATCCTACGTCTCACTTTAAAAAAATATGGGTATAAACATTATAGAAATAAATGAGAATAGAAAGAATGTAATTTTAGACATTTATAATACTATATTACTGCATAACAATCATAAATTATATATTAACCTATATTAACATAAACGTCTAAATATTACATCTAAGATTATATTAGAGCCTCTGACTTCTAAACTTAAATAATCGAAGTAATTCGTAAAATATATGTTGCACTCGTTCTATAGTTTTCTGCAAAGATAATATACTATATAGGTCATAGATGAGCCACTCTGAAAAATAATTAGGTGACGAAACGAGGAAAGTTTCTTCTGCGCTTTTATAGATGGTATAGGGATTATAAATAACTGAAAATTCACTATGTTTGTTTGAGAAAACCACGGTGAGGATTATTTCGTTAATTTACAAAGAATTATTCTATATATATACCGGTGTATTTCAAAACCTTTCTAGCATGATTTAGGCTTCGGTATAAATAATAAATACCCGCAGTGGCGCCATCTTTTAATAGATTATGTAAAAATATCGGGAAAAATAGTACTTTTACTGTGAGATGGCACTAGTATCAACGTAAAGCAAGCTACTGAGGACTTTCATACCCCTGATTTTAGGTTATGTTTCGGTTGTAAACCATTACTTCTGATATCGATATTTGAAAACGGTTTTCAATAACGATATGAAAACTAAATATCAGTTATGTAACCGTTGCAGCTAAAAACTGAAAACGCCCATGCTTAGAAATTAATAATTTACTTTGCCTACATGTTAAAACTTAATATTGTTACTCTGTGCGTAAAATCAAAATGAGTTTTGTGCAGCAGATTATTTATATTAAGAAATAAGATTAAGAAAACTTATTAAATATTGTGGAATTATATTTAAAAAAAATCCATATAGCAGGTCATATTTACCACAGACATACAATCACAGGCTAACTAGTAGATTCTACATACAATATACTTTACATGAGAACTATATACATCATACTTCTAATTTGAATTAGCTATGAGCATTATAACTTATAGACATTTATGGAAACGTCTATTATACATAACGCTCATAACTGTCTGTTTCTTATAACGATCCGCAATGCACAGTGTACCTTTGAACCGCAACGCTGCAACGATGCGTCGGCTTGGAATCGTGATATTAATATTATGACATCACGCACTCGTTGCCGTAGAAAAACAAATGTTATGCCGTGTACGACAATATAAGAAGGAAACTGCAGCGGGGCCCATATTGAAACGTGTAGGTGAGCGAAGCGAAATTCAAAAAATAAGTTTATTTCTTTCTTTTTCATATAGATACTTGTATAACTATTTCAAATTGGCAATGTGTCTCTAATAAAGCAATTTTAAACTACGTGCTGTTTATTATAAAATTCTACACAGTAAATACGGGTTATTGCCACATATTGAAAAATAATACTTATTTTCCTAAATGTAAGGATTAAACTGCATTAATAGCCTTGACCTTATTAAGACGAAATATTATTATTGATCTTCTGTCCTTCTACTTTTGAACTTGAGTTTTCATAATATTAATTGTGTCTCTCTGAGGAACAAGTGCAATAATAAATTTTGGGTGTAATATCATTATTTAAAAACTTTGCTTTATTTCTTAATTCCAAGTTTATTTGGAAGCATAAATCACGCATTGTGATATTAGTGTTCATCAAAGAAGTGTAAAAACGATCAAAAAAACTTAGTAAATATATATTTGATTTAGTGATTGTAAATATATATATATATATATATATATATATATATATATATATATATATATATATATATATACATACATATATACATAAACACTCACGCCTGTCACCCAGAGGGGTAGGCAGAGACTACGGACTTCCATTTGGCGCGATCCTGACATACCTCTCTCGCCTCTTTTACATCCATATATCTACGCATACACGCTCGTCGGTTAAGGGTACTCCTAATCTGGCCCATTTTTAATGTATCGCCGATTTGGTCGATAAACCTTCATCTAGGGCGTCCCTTCCCGACCCTGCCGTTCACTTCCGCAACATAAATTTGCTTTGTATATATATATAGGTTCGTTTTAGGTTGTAATATAATAAAGAAACAATGTCGCGACAAAACACAAATATTTTGTGAGTTTTTCGAAAATACTGATAGTGTAAATAAAAAAGAGCGTTGTAATAAATATAAAAACGAATTTAGTTTTCAGATGATTTTAGGTAATCTGAAGTCACATTTTCGGCAACAATATATAGAAGCGTACAGACAAGTTTCATCGGAACAGCAAACGATTGCTAGATCTTCGAGACCTGTGAACACTTTGGGTGTCCTTGCGTCAGCACTAACTTAAAAAATAACTTTTTAAGCCAGTCAAATCCGACCTCAGTGATGCCCACAACACAAACAAGGAAAAATGGATGCCTTAATTCCTAGAAAGATGTCAAAAGATCAAAAGTACGAAGGAAGTTCATTTCAACAACTAAATTAGTATTTAAATCTTAACTGTTTATATCACGACACGAAAATACCTTTGATGATAACTGTTCTATCACGGTATATTGTTAAGTTGCCGATACATGGAAAATAAACAGTTATGGATATAGATAGTTATGATAACGTTATCCGTTGTACCTAACGCTAACGTTACGTTATTTAAAAAACACATAACGACACATCGCTAATTTGAATACGTGATATTCTCTTCACACAATATATTTAGACATGAATCATAGCTATGCCATGATTTAATAGATGGCGCTACAGTCAATTTACTAACAATTTCTATATTTATGGACCAAAATGATTCACAATCACAATATATTCTGTTGGTCAAAAAGAAAAATCACAAAATCTAGACCCGTTATATGGCGTTGTGCAGTCAAAAAGTCCAGAGTGAAATTCTTTGCGCCAACTAAAGGTAGAACGAAATCTACCAAACCAGTTAATATTTTAATACTACCAGCAGTGCACCTGATACTTTAATACTAATTTAATTAATGAATTAGTGGCTTATTCCTTCAAATAAGTTACATAAAAGTGATAAAAGTGCGTTTCATGAAATATTATTAAAAATTCCCTTCGCCGTAATGTTGGCTTCCCTAACTCACGAAGTACATAGCACAGACCACAGACTAATATGATGGTACATAGCAGGCTGGTGCAACTTCCATACTATAGAGCGCGCAAGATAACTTTGCGTGCGACTGATGGCGTACTTAATATTACCAGCTTAACTAATTTTTTTCCTTCAT